CTTGGCTGCCTTCTCATCTATTGTCTTTGTCAGGACTTTCTTCTCCTGCTACGGGCGGCGATTCTTAGTGAGAGGGTTTCAGGCTTTGGGGTCCCATAGGGTTTAGGGTTTAAGGGTTCAGGGGTTTAGACTTTAGGGTTTAAGGGATTAAGGGGTTTAGGGGTTTAGGGGCTTCCGTTTCAGCTTTGGGACCTAACTTTTTCGTCTAGGACTTGCGGGTTTTGGGCACCCGCTGCTCTAGGGCTTGGATTGTAAACCAAAGGAGTATATAGGATTCACGGGCGGGGTGTGGGCTTTTCGTTCATATAGGTTCTGTAACCCGACAATTCAAAGGGATCAATCGACTCAATCAGGAAAGTAGCGAAAGCACGGGCGTGAAAGGTATGAGTGGGCATGTAGGTGCTATCTATATATATATATATATATGTGTGTGTGTGTGTGTATGTGTATATATATATATATTATGTGTGTGTGTGTGTGTGTGCTTGTATGCATTTCCATACATATACATAAATAAATGTATAAATAAATGAATAAATAAAATATATATATATATATACGTATAGACACGTATAAACACACACACACACACACGCGCACACACACACACAGATGAGCGTTAAGATGCATGGGTGCGAACATGTGGAAAAGCATTCTGCGGAGGTGGCTTAGCATTGCAGCTTCTTTCACAGCGTGTACTCGTAATGACAAGGATCTGCCTTGTATGCAGTATGCAAATGTACATGTGTTAACTACATCTTAACTTATCTAGGTCATATGTGCTGAATCATTTGCGGGAACAGTACATATATGTACATTGCACGAATACATATACACACCCGACAGTCCACCGGTCAGCGCATTGCTGTTCTAGGCCATGCCGAAGCTAAAAGTCGCTAGGGTATGCCCGCTATCCTCCCTCTCTAGTCGGCACATTACGTATGTTCCAAGCATGTAGACGAGTAGGAACGGTATACCAATATATCACACAGTCGCACTATGTACTCTTAAACCAAACCATGCATACCACATCACATCTTCCATCCCAACATGTTTCAGCTTGCGTGATATACCTCACCGGTGCCAGGTAGCCCGAAAATGTAACCACCCCACCCCGAGCCGCGCCGTCAGCCCAAAAGCCTTTGCTCTGAACTTCTGTCGCTGAATGCGCCAAGCCTCTTGCTCAAACCGTGATCCTGTCCTAAACTCATAACAGGGCTCCTCAATCAAACTCGAAGGAAAGGGCGTAAGCCCGACCCTTCTCCAAACCTAAACCCTACTATAAATATTGACCCTATAACCCGAAAAAGCTTGCAAGACTCCATGAAACTCCATAAAACCTCGGCCATTTTAAGAGAACGTACGTTCGCGCACGCCACTTCAAGAAGGAATAATGCAAACGTCGTCCCTGTGCGAGTGATTCGTGGTTTGTACCACACCCCGACGCTGTGCAAAAGTTGCAACTTGTTTTCCAAGTTCGCTGCGCCTTCCACGCGCCGCTCTGTCAAAACAATCACTTGGCATCATGCTTCAAGTCGCAGTAGTTTGGATGCTTTACGTGAACGGATGGAGTCGTGGTGGACGCTATTACGGTTCCGGCATGGATGCTTGGACGTTATTACGGTTCCGGCATGGATGCTTTGCGTGAACGGATGGGGTCGGAGTGGACGTTGTTACGGCTCCGGCACGGATGTTCTGCGTGAACGGGTGGAGTCAGGGGTGACGCTGTTGCGGTTCCGGCATGAACGCTTGCGTGAACGGATGGGGGTCTTCCGGCATGTGCGCAACGTGGGTTTAGCAAGTGCCGAAGACAGTGCACCCACCGGTGTTTTGGGCATGTGAATCAAAGGAAACACTGTAAATACCGAGGGAAACGGGATGTGCGCGATGTGGGGTTGAGCAAGTGCCGAAAACGGTGTACCCACCGGTGTATTCGGCATGTGACCCAAAGGAAACACTGCAAATACCAAGGGAAACGGGAGGCGCGGACTGCGCGCGAACATGGCGACTGGAGGGTACAACCAACTGACTGGAGCCCTAGATCGGTCCAAGTGCGCCTCGGCAAAAAGGCCTCTCAGCGAGGCGATCTCCGCTTCGTGGAGCGCCTCTCAATCGCCAAACAGACAAGGTAAGCTTGATTGCTCTACGGTGTAGGGTTTTAGGGTTTCGGGGTTCAGGATTTTAAGGTTTCGACACGCGCACTCGCACAGGCAGGCACGGATCCACACACAAGTCTCACAACGGCAGCTTGCCACAGTGATGCGTGGGATGACAACTGCCACGGCTAACGTAAGTATGATCATGACTTAGAACCTAACTGCTGAACCACCCGTACATCACAAGAATCCCGCAGATCCCCCAGCAAGTCCGAGGCAGTCGACCCAGTCGCGGCCCTTTGCCATTCTACGGAGGGGAAGGATACACAACTTTCGCCAATACCGGGGGTGCATTACGCGTAAAAGGGTTTGGGGTTAAGGGGGTTCGTTTTAAGGCTTGGCACACCCAAGTTATAGATGTTACGACGACCCAAATAGGGGTGTAGTCCAATGTGATCAATAGGGCTCCTACAACCCCACCGGAATCCTTAAAGCCCGCTCCCAGCTTCCGACTTAAGTGCCTCAAGTGCATGCAAAACGCCAGGATTGGTAAAGGCCTTAAACAAACTGCAAAACCCCAAACCGCCCCAATCCGACGCCCTTCCATTACCCTGAAATCCTGAACCGCCTGAACCCATCGAGGAAACCCTAAACCCTAAACCCTAAACCCATCGAGGAAACCCTAAAGCGCCAGCCATGTCTTCGCCCATCAACCCAATGCCACGTGCAGCGAAAGGAGTCTACGGGTCTCTTTACAGGGGTTCTTAGACGGTTTTTGTAGAATCCTTATAGGGTTCTTAGAAGGCTCTTAATGCGGTTCGTATACAGGTACCCTAAACCCTTTTTTTGAACCCAGACTCTGCCAATCCTAAACCCTAAACCCTTATAAACCCTAAACCCTAAACCCTAAAGTAACGGACACAACATGGAATGCTGGACAAGGCCTCCAGGTCTCGCCGAAGGTTAGCAAGGGCTGCCTTGAGCTCCGCATCCTTCGATTCGAAATTTCGGAACCTAAATAATTACCAATACTATTTTGGAGGTTCTTTATTATGATGATGGTATAATATACCCCGATACTATTTTGGAGGTTCCTGATTATGTGATTATGGTACAATATACCCCAAAAGGCCTATCCTAATCACTAAGGCCCCTACATTATGCGCTTTTAGGTTTGTTTTGGAGCTCCTCTACAGCGAGGCTTCAGGGTTTAGGGTTTCAGGTGACTGGAAACTAGGATGCTAGGACCTGCTAGGAGTCAGGGGCTTAGGGTTTTTTTCTAGAGGGCTTCTATAAGGGTCTAGGGCTTAAGGCTTAGAGCTTTGATGTAGACGAAACAGAGCGGCTTCTGCGAACAAGAACCTTGAATGCTGAGATACTGAGCAGCCCGTTGCAAGAAAACTGCTGCTGTAGAGCAGCTACACACTTCGTTCTCATGCGCAAAAGCACACGGCACGATACAGAGCGAGTGAAGAAGCGATAAGCACACACAAACCCCCATGAAAACTAAGGAACTTGAGCCTGTAACGACCCGATCCACCGAAAGATAACCCTAAACCCTAAACCCTAAACCCTAGAACCCTAAACCCTCAACCCTAAAACCCTAAAGCCCTAAAACCCTGAAACCCTAAAAACCTAAAACCCTAAAACCCTCAAACCCTAAAACCCTAAAGCCCTAAAACCCATGAAGTGCCCGAACCCAGCCCCCGCTCAGCCGGAGCCTTCCGCTCCATCGTCGCCCGGAGCTCGGCCTCGAAACTCTGGCTGTAACTTGGGGCACCATTATAATTAGAAAAATGTTTCGGGGGTACGGTATAGTATAGGGTTTAGGGTTTAGGGTTTAGGGTATAGGTTTTAGGATTTAGGGTATAGTATGGTATAGCATAGTATAGTATAGACTTGCATCGTGTCGTACAGTGTTGCAAAGCACGGCATTGCATAGGATAGAATAACACCACACGGTGGAGCTGACACAGCACAGCAAAAGCGTGAGTATGTGGCAATAGCGTTAGCATCAGCATTGGCACTAGCTTTAGCACTAGGGTAGCATAGCAAATTACCGTGTAGTATCGTATGGCAGAGTGAAGTATGGCAGTGGCATCATACAGCACAGCATAATTAATGCAGCGCAGTGCAGTGCGATGTAGTATGTAGTATGCGGCACGTGGTAGTATCGTACCGTAAGCTACAGTCTTTCGTAGTGCGCTTGCCGTCCCCGTTAAGGACCCCCTGACGCGTCCTTGTGGAGCTCCCGCAGGGCTTCAACCTGGCCACAAAGTTGGGCTGGGAGTCTCCCCGCATGCACAGAGGTCCCTCGTTGCGAAGGTTTCGTTTCGTTTCCGGGGGGCATTGTCGGGATTTCCGAAAAAGGCTTCTTAAGCCTACTACAAGCTAAAGGCTTTGAGGTTTAAACCTCTCACGGCCCGGACTCTCTCCGAGATGATGTGAGAGGTTTGAGCGGATTTTTGAAGGCTGGCGGGGGGGCAGCATGGATTGGGGCTTTGGGCTTTGGGGTGTTTCTTTGTGCGATAGAGCCGTGCTTGTTTCCGCGCTACACAGCAATCAAACGTGGTGATGCCGACGGTTGACGAGATGGACGAAGATCATGACGATGACGGTGATGACGACCATGGGGGCTCAGTAGCGTTGTCTGAAGCAGGGAAGTTCAAGAGAAGTCTAGGGCTGCCTTTACCGCCTGCACCCGATGTGTCGCACAGGCACAGTTGATGCAACCGCATATATACATGAACTGCAGCCGTTTCCTCTCCGACTTGAGCGTGTCCGCACATGAGAGCCCTTGACATTCGCCAAGCTCTCAAAAACCTTGCCTGCATCAAGAGAACGGGACCTCGGCGTTTTGCACACCGGAAAAAGGCCGTACCTAGCGACCTAGCGTTTCTCTTACTACAGCGGCGGGTAGTGGCGGGGGCGCTTGAGCTTGACGGCCCGCCTTGCACGCAGTGGTTTTGACCTTTTCTGCTTCCACACCTCGCATCCATTAGCATCCTTGCTGCTGCAAAGGCCTAGTTCCGGCACCTTGCGGTAAACGCAGCTCGGGTGGACGAATCGACTTGTGTTCTCATGATACAGGTGCAGCAAGCTGGTACTCCTGACGGGCTTCTCCTTCACCGAGAGCTTCGTAAACGAGACGTCCTGGCCGTCATACGCGAAGACCACGTCACCCAACTCGAAGTTCCCATCGGTCGAAGGCGTCAAACCTGGCAGTTTTTCGAAGGCCTCCGCGCGCCTCCGCTGCTGAGCAAGGCGAAGCTCCTTTTTTGCGGCCTGGCTCTTTGCTTTCTCCGCCCGCTCCTCGGCCTCGATCTGCTCGCTGTCTGCGGGCTGGTAGCCATCCACCTTGAGGGTTTAGGGTTTAGGGTTTAGGCTTTAGCGCTTATAAGGCTTAGGCGGCTTTGGGCGTAGGGCTTAGGGTAATTTAGGGTCCATCCACCATGTTGAGCGTGCCGCTTCCAACCATCTCTTTCGGCACATACTCCTTGCACTCGCATCCGTGAGTGCGCAGGAGCTGGCGCAGCTCTGGGGTTATTCTCGAGCCATACTGGTGCCTGAAGGTGACGCAAGGGAGATGATCTGGAAGAACGAGCGCCTGCATGAATGTCTTCGGATGGAGCATACGCATGATTGGGTTGTCGTCTTCAGAGTCGTCCTCGGCATCTGCGGCAGCCGTCTCAGCCGTAAATGAAGCTTCTGTGAACTCCAAGTCCTGCAAGGAGCTGAGCCCACGAAGATCCAGCACAGATGGCTCTCGGCCTCCCTCATTAACCCCGTGATATTTCAGCACACGGAGCTTGTGGAACCTCTTCAGAACCTCCAAGTCGCTGGCCACGTTGAACCGCAAGCGACCTATCTCCAACACTTCCAGCGTTCCGGCTAGAGGCTCGAGAGCTGTGACTCCACATTTGGATGGCTCATCCTCGCACATGGTCTGGAAGGACAGCTGAAGCTTGAGGCTTTTCAAGGTCCTGCACATGCCGAAGCCCCTCAAATCATAGATCACGCGCCGGCAGTCCACCGTTTTGTAGAGCAGTTGACGGACATTCGGGAACTTCTGATGCAACTCCGGATAGGAGTAGATGCTTCGGTCACCAGAGTCGATCTCAAGGTCGAGAATGCTTGCAGCATCCTGGAGCACCTGGTGCTTTGGGATCTCCCTGCCAGCCGTCAAGGCATGGCAGTGCGTCAAGAACGCGGCCTGGTCGCCATCGCAGGAGAAGTCCTCGAAGTCGGGGTCTCCAGGACTCAACTGGACACTTGTCACAGGTGGCTGCTCTGCATCGCCCAACTCCTCCATTGCCTTGTCCGTAACTCCAGGAAGCTGTTCCAACATGACTCGCCGAGACACGACAAGGATCTCCTGCGCCACCGACAGCTCCAGCTCTACTACGCTACCCAGCCAAGCTCGGGCCACGACAGAAAGACGTCACATGCTCGTCAATTGCACAAAACGCCTCCGCCTGTCAGCACGAACAGTCATCTTGTGTTGGACCTGCTTAGCCCTTTAGCTTCGAGGGGTGCCACGAGTGTGGTTTTCCAACTCGGATTTTTGAAAGTTTGAACGTATCAAATGTTGGACGTGATTTGGAGAGTTAACAAGTTTCAATTTTTCGACTTCGAACCGGAACACGAGCTTGAATTTTGAAGGTTTGAGCCGGAATCTGGCTCGAAAGTTTGAAGTGCCAGCGACATTCGCCGTGGGAGTCGCGCAAGGCGGAGAACAGGCGGAGGGCGCAGTCTGGCTCACAGAGCAGCTCCCAAGTTCGAGTTCGAAAGCTTGAGAGGCTGGAGATGGAAAGTTCGAAACCCGGGGAGTTTGAAGGCATGCAAGGTTGAAAGTTCTAGAGATTGAAAGTTTGAGAGTTTGAGATATTGAAAGTTTGAGAGCTTGAGAAGTTGAAAGATTGCAGTTTGAAAAAATGAGAGACACGGAGTTTGAAAGTTTGAAGCTTTGAGATTTTGAAGGTCTGTAAGCTTGAAGGTTTGAAGGTTGGAACATTGGAAAGTTTCAGTTCGAAAGCGTATTGAGTTGTTGACACTTGAAAACACGTTTCAGTTTCGGGCCTGGGGTTAAAAGCTTCGAGCAGCCAACACAATGTGCAGTGTACGAAATCGGCCCTAAACCCTAAACCCGAAACCCCAAACCCCAAATCGTTCCGAACCAGGAGTCCTGAGACTCAAATACCATGACAATGTCCGCTAGCGCATGTGACAGAAGCACATTACTGCCCACGACCACAATATCGCTCCTTCCTCTCGCTTTGCTAGGTTTGGCCACTTATATACTCTCGTCCTCATTTTCTTGATTTTCACTGTTTGTCATGCTCCAGGCTGCTGGTTAGCAGCGTAAACCCTGAACCCCCCCATATCCGAAACTCGAGGCCTCAAGCCCCAACCAATGCTGCGGCCTCGCAGGCGTGGGTCCAGTTCACATCCCTGAGATGTGCTTCGGCGGCCCTCTGCGCCTCCTCCTGAGGGGGTTTGGACTTTAGAGCTTAGGGCTCAGGGCCTGGAGTCGGGTGTTGAAGGTTTAGGTTTCGGATTTAGGGTTCTGAATATTACTCAGACGCGCATATTCAACCCTACACTCCCCGCAATCATCAGAATAATCATAGTGATAGTTAATACCAATACATAACAATAATTATAACTAGTACTATTCCAATAATAACAACAAAAACAATGATAACAGTTTTTGAAGTTGCTATATAATATTACTAATGGCACTGATCATAACCATAGTCATAACAATACTAGTAGTGGGGACGTTGATTTAATGACCAGAACCAAAGTCATGATATTAGATGACTTGTAAGAGAAATGACAAGGAGATAACCAGAACACATAAATGTTAAGAGACACAGGCCCGTATTTCGACACGAGTTGCGTCAATAACACGTACACACACCACTAAACCCTTATAGTAACCCCAAAACAGCTTTGGGGCTCCTCATTATATGAAAAACACAGTATACCTCAAAACCCTATTCTAACTATCAAGGCCTCCCATATTAGCCTCTTGCAGCTCGGATCTCTCCAGTCATACATGTTGGGAAATTTCGAGGTTCACGGGTTAAGTTATGGTGCGGGCCTCGTTTAGGGGCTCCGGGCTCTGATGGACCGGATCCTGGCTTAAGCGGAGGGTCGTCTACGAAGGGATGAGCGGTGTGTAGTACACTGCGGCTGCAGCTTTATGGGAGTTGTCGTGACTCTGTGCATGCAAAGTGGGAAGATTGCCATGGTCGTGGTGATAGACGAGACCACGTCTGTTGGTGTATTGCAGATGCCTGTGACCGCTGTCTTGACCGGCACTTACTACTGCCATGGTGGTGGTCATACCTTGGACCGCGATCGTCGCCACTCCTGTGCTTGCTGTGCATCTTTCGATGGCAACTGCCCTTGCTACTGGTGCTGCGCGTTGCCTATGGGTAGTTAGTGTGAGTCAGTGGGTTGCGGGGACAGCTCCTAAACCCTAAACCCTGAACAGCGAAGGGATGCAATCAAGGAGCCATCTGCCGTCGCAGGGCCTCGGTCTGCTCAGCACCACAACTGAAACATCGACACTCGGGTTAAGGTTTAGGGTTTAAGGTTTAGGGTTTAGGGTTTAGGGTTTAGGGTCGAAGCCCTCTCTTTGCATGTCGTTCCGGGCTTATTCAAACTCTGGGGCATTCAAGATGCAAGGACGTAGGGAACCCGCTGAACAAGCACCGCGATGCATAACGCCAACAACAAAATCCCCAGTTTGCTACTGGACTCAAGTGCAGCCATAAGTCGTAAACCCGACACTCCCTGAATCCTTTATGTTCTGAGGTCTGGTACATGAAGCTTCCGCGACTGTGATGTGACAGACAGGAGCTTCTGACATTAAAGCAAGGACTATGATATACAGAGTACACAGACCCCTAAATGCTGTACCCCGAATCCCTAAGCCTTAACCCTAAATTTAACCCTAGACCGTTACGTGAGATGCCACCAAGTCGGAAGCGCTTCGGGGGGGTTACGGCTGCAGAACAGTTCTGGCGGTGAGCGGGCCGGCATGTGCTGAAGGCCCTGAATAAGGACCCGTGAGCAAAACCCTATAAGCAAAACGTTCAGAAGGCCATACAGTTGAAGGCACTGAAGAAGGACCCTTGGGCAAAGCCCTTTAAGATCGATAAGGATTACCACAGATAAAGATAGATAAAGCCCCCCGCCCCTCCCTCACTCGCACCCAGCGGCAGCCAGGGCAGCAGAATGCTCGGCTTCCTCAGCGGTTTTATCAAGGTTCTGGGCAAGGATCAAACAATGTGCGATTTCCTTCGGAAAGGTGTTGATTCGTCTTGATTGTGCAAAGTCGAGACTTGAACCTTAACAAAGCCCTGCTTTCCCCACATGACATATCTGACACAGCTCGGCCCATGCAACTGAGCAGCTCTTCGCGCAACATCCTCGGTTCCCCAGCCGGCAGAGGATGAGCTTTGGGCGTTTTTGGCGAGTCCAACACCGACAACCTTGAAGCCCAAAATGCCGTAAACCCCAAGCACTTACTGTAACCCTGCATCCCAACCAAGATGCCCAAAAGGCTCCTAACCGTGGTGCAAAACTGAAGACCTCGACCCTGCACCTCATAGTCGATTCACTGCCATCCAGTACCCGCAGAATGCCGCATCCTGAATTAAGGCATTGCTGCTGCTGCTGCTGCTGCTGCTGCTGCTGCTGCTGCCGCTGCTGCTGTCTATTGCTGTTCTGGCTGCTGCTGCTATTGTAGTCGCTGTGGCAAAGCATGACTGCAGAACACTTGTAAGTGCAGCGGCAAACTTTTTCACCAGGGACTCGACTGCTGCCCTTACTGCCCAGCGCCAAGATTCGTTGCAATGGTTCCGGTCTCGCTCTTCCAGGACGTTACGTGCAGTGGCCTGCTGCTGCTGCATCCTTGCCAGGATTGGGTCTGCCGTCCCGTACAGGCGGGGGTCGACACGGCGAGTGTTTCCGACATCTCAGTAAGGGGCCACGCAAATCTTAAGGAGACACACTCTAATTAGTTTAATGCACATGGTGGCTTGACAAGGAAAGGTTGCCACTTAGGAGTACTTCTCTGAGCTTCAGCCTTGTCGGCAGTTTGTACTGGGTGCGATTGTCGTCGTGGTCATAGTCCAAGCTGTCTCAAACGCAGCAACAGCGAAAGCCGGTCGATGAGGACTCCCGGGGAGAAAAGAATCATTGAATGGCCTTAAAAGTACGATCAGCAAGAACCTCTCCTATACGAGCTTCAGCATAAGCATCATGATCATCACCATCGCCGTCATCATCACCATCACCACCGTGATCATCATCATCATCATCATCATCATCATCATGATCATGAGCGGCATCATCACCACCACCATCGCGACCATCATCATCGTCATCGGAATGCAGCTCCGTCGCTCTTGGTTGAGCGCATCGCACGCTTCGCCATGCTCTCCTGCGCAGACATCGAACAGGAAATTGAGACATGCCGCAATGGTGGGCTTTGGGTTTAGGGTGCAGGTTTCAGGGCATCAGGATTAAACCCTAAACCTATACCCTTGGCAGGCTGCGTCGAAGAGGAGGGCGAGGGTCTACCGGGACCCCAAAAATGTGTAGAATGATAGTGGCACAGTAGCCCTTTAGACGTTTTAAGCCTTCATCTTACTTACTTCTTGGCGGTTGAAGTTGTGTCCCATGGTGTAATTGAGTCACAGGCTTCTCGGGGCCATAAACGTACTATGCTCAAAAGGGAAAAGCCGTCCGTTCTGCACCTCCCGCCGCGTAAAAGCGCACCCACACGACAGAATGCTAAACTCGGCAATCCTTTCTCCGATCTCTCGACCGTCACGCTGCTTCCAAGCGGCGCCGGGTGTCGTCCAAAGTCGCTTCTGAGGCTGCGCGTTCGCTAGCCATCTGTGCCTGCTACATGGAGGGCTGTTCACAACCACGAACTCATTTCAGAGGCGATTCAACTCTCATCCGTTGTTGGACGTTTGCTTGACGGTTCGGGTGTTGAATGGAGGCATGGCAAACAGACAGCGACCAGCCAACATAGGATGCTGGAAAGGAGTTGCGGTCGATGTTTGGAATAACTGTCGGGCTGTGCAACATGATTCCGACCACCACCCCATACATGAGGCTCTATGAGCTTTGCCTGGAAAACTTGTTCAGAAAGCGCCGGTGACGCGGAAAATCGCTCGAGAAACAATGGAAATGCGCCTAAACCCTGGGATCCTCTCAGACTGTCTGCAATTCTGTCTTCTTGTATGTTCTCTTGCCCTCTTGCCCCAACCCTAATCGCATCCTAATCGCCAAACCGCTCCCTAGAACCCGAAAAAACGTCTGTGTTTGTGTGGGTTGAGCTCCTTGCAGAAGGAGCTCCTTGTCTGCGTCTCAGCTATACCTTAAGAACCCAAAACCCACTTTTTTGTAGGTTCTTATTATAAACCCTAATATGGGGATTTATAGGGACCCTACAAAAAAGTAGGTTTTTTGGGTTCTTAAGGTACAGATCGGGAAACTCAAAAGGATGGATGATGGTAGGTAGCATTAAGGCAGTAAGGATTCCTCGTAGAAGGGCTCGTCTTCTTTGGGGATGGAACACACCTCCCCACGCGCGCCCTTTGAACACAAAGCAGGAGCTCCTTTAGAGAACTACCCATAGAGAACCCTTATTAAAACCAAAATGGGCCCTAACAAAGTTGTATAGATCCCGTTAAAGCACCCTAAAACGGGCCCTAATATAGAAACCCTTATAGATCCCTTTAAGGAAACCCTAAACCCTAAACCCCTAAGATCCCTTTAAAGCACCCTAAAAACGGACCCTAACATAGAAACCCTTATAATAGATCCTTTACAGGACGCCCTTTTCCCTAAATCCCTAAACCCTTAGAGATCTCTTTAAGGAAACCCTTACAGATCCCTTTAAGGAAACCCTAAACCCTAAATCCCTCAACCCTCAGAGATCCCTTTAAGGAGGAGCTCCCCTTTGATAGAAACCCTTATAGATCCTTTTAGGGACACCCTAATCCCTAAATCCCCAAAAACCCTTACAGATCCCTTTAAGGGGAGAGCTCCCCTTTCTTGCCGCCTGCAGCACGGCGACCTCTCTGGCTCGGACCTGACCAAGGCCGCTTCACGGGCTATAAAAAGATAGGGTTTAGGGTTTAGGGTTTAGGGTTCAGAGTTCAGGGTTAGGGTTTAGGGTTTAGGGTTTAGGGTTTGGGGTTTAGGGTTTAGGGGGTTCAGGGTTTAGGGGGGTTAGGGTTTAGGGGGTTCAGGGTTTAGGATTTAGAGGATAGGTTCTACGATGATCATATGAGATTTTGAATAGGGCTTATCGGCTTATCTGCTCGTTTTACTTGTTTGGTGTAGGGTTTTACCATAAATGCACAGAAACATGTCCACTCTCAGAGTTTTCGGACTACTCAATTTTTCGGGCTTGTCGCGCTCTTTTGGGCCGAAGGCTGAAGGGCTATCCAGTATTCTAGGGGAACTAAAGCTTCATCCTTAGGATCATGTAGATAGTACCCCAAAGCTTAAAGGTTACTTAATGTTAAACCGGCCCCCTCCACCCAACCGGAAAGTTTTGTTTGTAATCAGGGGGATGTTTATCTCTACTGCCACTTTTGAGGGGTCCTGCTCTTGCTCCTGCTCTTGCTCTGGCTCCTGCGCTGGCTTTTGCTCCTGCTTCTGCTGCGTCTCTTGTGCCTGCTCCTGCTCGTGCTGTTGCTCTCCCTTTTGCTCCGGCTCTTGCTCTTACTCTCGCTGCTGCTCTTGCTGATGCTCCCGCTTTTGCTCTTGCTCCTGCTCCTGCTCCTGCTCTTGCTCTTACTGTGCTCTAAGGGTATTTCGAGCAAGATAGGCTTTAAAGGGCAGGGAGGATTCGCCCCAATTTGGTTTTATTTTTAGGGGAGTGCTTAATAAATGGGGGAAGCGATTTACTATGGAGGGTTGCTTCAGGCTCTGAGGGGATGCGACGGCCTGCTCCAAGCAGTCTGCTTGGGGATTTTCGGGTTGGAGGGCCTAGCGCGGTTGCAAGGCTTCGAGGGTGATCTAGAAATCAGGCATCCACTGTAGACCCGTGAATGAAAAAGGGTACCAAGCCTAAGGAATGGGACGTGCTGATCAACATTTACATCCTTAACCCTAAACCTTAAACCAATATAGAGGCCTTAATCATTACCAATACTATGTTTTTGTTGGGGGGGTTCTTTGTTATACATATAGTATAATAAAACCCCCAATACCCTATTCTAATTCCCGAACCCCAAGGCTCTCAGAGGGCTTCGAATAGGGTTTAGGGTTTAGGGTTTAGGGTTTAGGGTTTAGGGTTTATGAAACCGGACGCGATGACTGCCAGCATTGCCTCCTCTGCCGTTCTTCAGCCGAGGCCCGAAAACGTCAGCACACAAGCACTCCACTCCCAACCCTGAAACCTAAACCCTAAACCCCACCTCCTAAGCCCCGAACCCCCAAAACTCTCAGAGGGCTTCGAATTCGGGAGTTAATTCCTGGCCTCCTCCTTCTGATTGCTCAGGAGCGACATGGCTGCCGAATGCTCGCGATCCTTGTTGTGAATCAGGTACCTGGGGTTTCGGGTTAGGGTTTTGGGGTTTCGGGTTTCAGCACTCTCGGACGAGCCTAGGCGAGGTTCGATTTCTGAATCACTGCGGATGTTGCTTGTGAGATGCCTGTACAAGGTTGGCGCCCTTGCTCAAGTAGCCTTGCTCTTCCGATATCTGTACATCATCTGGCCTTCGGCCAAGAAGCCGACTAGATGGGAACCGTGAGCGATTGAGAACGTAGCAGCCTCGTGGAACTCAAGCTTAGGGCAGGCATGGGCGGTTTAGAGTTTGGGGTTCGAGGTTCTAGTACAGAAAATGATCTACCGCCGCAAACAGGGAGTGTGTGTCTTCCATGGCCCAATCACATCGTGCTCTCAGCTCCTCTTCGTCCTCTTCAAAGAGAGTGACCTGGGGAGGCCCCCCGTTCTGTTGCCACGTGCGCTCGACGCAGGGCATGCCGTAGATCGCCAGGCCCTGCATGGTCTGGAGCAGTGGATGGTCGAGCTGCAGCGGTTTCGGCGGCTCGAGGTCGTACTCTCTGCTCGAGCAGACCTCGTGAATTTCTGGGGCAAAACGACTTCGCTTCCAGCTGTTCGTCTCCCAAACTGCATCCTTAACCAGCCGGCCTTCCTTCCACACGCGCTCTGCATAGAACGAGGGAATTCCAGGTCCTCCTACACGGCGGGGAATACAGGTGGATCGCTCCAGCCCATGAAGCAGCCCATTTGGAAGCCGCCGTCGCTGGAGCCGAACATACAACTCGGGACCACACCTTCCTTCTTCTGAATCTTCTCTGGCGAACCGCTCCTGAAGAACCTCTTTGGTAGCCGACACTGCTTCAGCAGTGGCGCGACAGCACCGGGCCAAGGCTGCCAAAACATCCAAAGCAGCACAGTCCAGCAGGTGCTGGATTGCAACGTCGAGCCAGGTTGACATCCGAAATCCTCGAACCCTCAAGAGCTTTCGAAGAGGCTATACGACTTGAGCGCAAAACAACAGGGCCTAGGCTTTGTAGGCCCTCCTCTGAGATACTCAACTAAGACATTTTGGCCATCTGGAGGCTGCCCAGGAATCGGACAGGAGTTTCAGGGCTTCGTGGTTAGGGCATCTATTAGTCATCTATTAGTAGAGTGGGGGGGAGGCGCGGCTTGAGATTAACACTGAACATGAAGGAATGAACGAGTCAAGATCGTCTGTATTGAGCTATTCAGAGCTTTATTGTTAGACCTGCCCTACTGCCCTGGTGTTTGCATATGCAGACATGCCTGGCAACCTGCACAGTGACAAATACGTGAATACACACATCAAGATCTCACCAGTTCGTAATGTCAGTCATATACCAAACAAGCCGGATGCAGCCAAAGTGCATCGTCTGAATTATCGGCGGGAGCCTTGGTTCTTCAGCGTTGGTGCTGTCATGATTCCCGTTCTCACCACAGTGACCATGTTTGTATTGCAGAGCACTGCCTGACATCGCAAAGTAAATCAATGAGGCTAGCATGGATTACCACTGACCAGCGGTAGCAGCAGTGCTAGTGTGATACGGCAAGAACAGCACCAGCGCCAGCAGCAGTGGCGAGGAGAAACCATCATAAACACCGTCGCAACATGCCGAAACTACACAAATACACTCCTCGGGTCCTATAAATCCTACACAATAAACCGTGCTTGCCAGCCCGACCTGCTCTCTGACACCCGGAGGTTGACATGAGGATCTGAATACTCGGGGCGCAGGGGACCACATGGAGACCTAGTTCTGTTCGTGCTACCACGACTGTCGCTCCTTCTTGCTTCACAACCACGAAGACACTATGTAGCACCTCCAGGATTGAGGTCTTGGCCTGGTACTGGGATAGATACCATTGAGCGAGGTCGGCGGTTCAAGGTCGAGAGCTTTCCGGGGATGATAAGCATAAGGTTTGGAAGGTAGCCAGCGTCTGAGGCCGCCGCGAAAGACCATCTGACTCCTAGCAGCCATTCTGTCAAGCGAGCAGGGCCCAGCAAAAATGGCAAAATCTGCAGTTCGGGGACTGCCTTGGTTTTGGCTACCTGGTTAGAGTCTACTGGGGGCGGAAGGCATCACCCTAGAAACTCCAGTGACGTGTGCTGCACGTGGGCAGGTACACGGGGAGCAAACACACATGTGGGCATGATTGCACATTATCGGCGTGCAGGCAGATATTAACTATAAGAGAGCGAGAGAGATCGAGCAAACGCAGGATATTTGATCTACACATGCGCGTGTCTGTGTGGCGAGTGGGTGAGCGGAAGTGGAGTCGAGTGAGTGAGCGGGTGTTCGAGCGAGTGGGTGAGTCAGTAAGTGAGTCATTGGCTCTAGCATGAGCCGAAACTTTCAGACACTGTAAGGCCCTAAACCCTAAACCCTTAACCCTAAACCCTAAACCCTAAACCCTTCCCTCTCGGGTCCTGCGGAATTTTCCGGTTCAGAAGAAAATGGCCCTTGCTGCCTGGATCGCCGGGCTCCGCTCTTAACCTGAAGCGGTGGTTTTGGGAGTTCAGATTACGGCTTCTCTATAACAACGGTTTGGGTTTAGGGTTTAGGTTTTAGGGTTTAGGGTTTAGGGTTTAGGGTTTAGGGTTTAGCTTCCTGAAGTTCATAAGGGCCGCTGTAACGAGGGTCACTATTTTTGTGGAGGCTATGATAATACAAAAGCTTAGCACAGGGGTCTTCACAAGCAGAATATCGGGCGTGGGAGGCACATTGCGGCAATAACATCAGAAGGACCTCTTCAGTCCTGAGAAGCCTAACAGCCTCAAGCCCGAAAAAATAACAAGGCTCACATTTAGGGGTTTAGGGTTTTGAGTGTAGGGCTCAGGGTTTAGGGATTGCTGGCGAAACCGGAGCTCCGAAACCCCAAAGCCCAAAACCCTTCGTGACGGACAACAAAGAGGCCACACGGGACCCTTTCCCTTAAACGCACTGCACCCGCACCCCAAATCTCCAACCTAAAACCCACCAGAGTCTTGTCCATGATTCCATGATTAAATCCCAACCCCTTTTTTGCAGCTGCAGGCCCCTAATCCCTGAACCCTACACTACCATAAACCCTGAACCCTAACCCCTTTGAGCACGGGCTTGGGTTGTATGCCGGCAGGATGAACCCTAACCCCTTTTCAGCACGGACTGAGGTGCCGTAACCCCTAAACCCTGAACCGTAACCCCTTTTTTACGCAGGCTTGATCATGTGCGGATATTTATCACCACACTTTCCACTTCTGAAACCCTAACCCCTTTTTTGCATCAGGACTTGTGCAATCGCCTGAATACCCTAACCCCTAAACCCTTAACCCTCTCTCTCTCTCTCTCTCGCGGACTCAGAGGTCTGTCAGCCGCGCGGCCGTCTAACAAAACCCTTAACCCTACAACCCTGAACCCTGAACCCTATCCTAAGAACCCCCCACGGAAACGAAGGGGCTCGCATCCCAAGCGGCCTGCCCAGCTCATCCTCGGGTTGCACTTGCTGTGGGCTTGGGGCTGGTAGGGTTTAGGGGTTAGGTTTTAGTGTTTTAGTGTTTTTAGGGTTTAGGGTTTAGGGGTTAGGCTTTACATGTTTAGGCTTCGTTGTGTAGAGCTCACGGTCTGTTTTCGGGCGGTTTATTTGGGTTTATGTTGGTGGTTTACGGTTCAGGGCTGACGGCTTTTCGGGTAGGCTGGCCAGGAGTTGAAGTCTCCAGGGGTCCTGGGCTTCGGGAACACGGGACTCTAGCGCTTAGCGTTTCGGCGCGGGCCAGGGCCTCGGGCAGCTTTGGGGCTTTACAGTCTCGAGCCTTGGGGAATTTGAGATTTTTTGGGGCCGAGGGTGAGGGTTATGTGCCTGTTTGCACCCAACCAACCCCTAAACCCTAAACCCTAAACCCTAAACCCTCAAAAGAGACACACACTCAAAAGAGACACAACAAGCTGAAGCCTAACCCCCTCGAGCCGAAACCCCAAGCCCAAGAACCGTAACCCCAAACCCCCTACAGCGAACGGCAGAAAGTTGGAAGATGGGTTTAGGATGATTTCTGCTAGGATCCCGTACACGTAACCTTAACAGTGCGAGGGTTATAATGTTTCAACTCCAACTTTATGGTTTCTACTCATTCTAGCCTAAACCCTATAAACCCTGAATACTATAAGCCCTACAAATTCCAAACGGCAGCCAAGGCTCGACAAAGAGGAACCACTCGGGCCACTGCTTCGATGAAATGAGGAAGTACCCGGGCATCTCCTAACATCGGACACTTCATCAAGTAGTAGCGTTTTCTACAGGGTTTCATCAAGGCATGTATAGAGAGTTGTCGGATCTGAAGGTTTATGCGGGTCTTTCAGAATAGGGCCTACACAGTTTTCAATAAGGCTCTGGGGCATAGTCAGAGTATCTTAGTAGAGTAGAGTTACCGAGGGACTGCACAGGAAGTACTACAGCTGACTAGCTATTCAGACCTCGGCAGTGGCCGTGTCTTGGAAGAATCTTTGATGGGGCCAGGGTCCGGATAAATTATTACGGGTGGCTTGGGAACTCCGACTTAAGCTATAATGATACCATAATGCATGCGCGGGCGGCATGGGCATTCTTGGCATTCCATGCTTACACTTTTGGTTTTTCTTGCCCGGTCCTCTTTTCTTATCGTGGTACTCTCTGGGCAGAAGGCTCGACTAAGGGGCACAGGGCTTGAGGTCAGGGATGCAGGCATCCTAAAAGGCTTTCAGCATGTTTAGGGCTCAGGGGTCTCCAATTCTAGGGTTTTGCGGGTAGCCTCTGCTTGAAGTGATGGTGTAGGTCAGGGTTCATAGTGGAGCTTTCAGGTAAGCTTCGTTGTCGGAAGCCCAGGCCCAACCGCTGAAGCTCACAAGCCCCTACGCAAGGCAGGACAGGAAGCCCTCTCTTCCTCTGCTGGGTGGAGAGTAAGTTAATATCAATATCAGCAACCCCATGCGTCCCATGTCACATCTGGCGCTGCTCCGAAATAGTTATGGTCCAATATCTCATTGGCTACTCGTAGGCCAGCGGCTTCACTAATTCCGCATCCAGTCCTCGATGACAAACTGCCCTGCTTTGCCAGGCTCGCCGCGCTTGCCGACAACATGCAGGTAGCTACTGAACTCGTCCTGGTCACAGAACACTTCAAGCCCCAAGAGCCCTAAACCCGAACAGGGGCACCTTAACAATCAAAACACGGCTTTGCGGCTATGCTGCAGTATTTTGTATCAATCAAGGATCTAAGGAACCATTGAATTAGTACTGAAACTACCCTGGCTGCTTTAATAACAAAATCGCCCAAACTCTAAGATGGTCACGCGGGCTCAGGGTTCCGGGGTCGGATGACGAACTAGCCTTCCGAACCACATCAAGCCCTGATGCAGGTGCATCTGGTCAGTCTCCCATGAAGGAAAGAGTTTAGTCTAGATAAGGCTTTAGGGCTTCGGGCTCCAGGCTTCCTCTTGAGTAGACGCCAAAGACCAAAGCATCTACATCTGCACAGTTGCTACAACCTGTGGCTGCTCATCGCATGTTGTCAGCTACGGGTTTGCGAACTTTGGGGGTTATGGTTTGGGGAATTCGTCTGTCGTGCTTCGCTACGCGCACTGTGCTCATGATGAGCCATGTACAAAATACGTCCAATAGACAACCGGAAAGCCTACACCCCACATGTTGACAAGTAAGCTTATGGACACCTTGCAATGACGCCGTCGCAACATTGATAATGACTCTTCTTATGCCGAAGACTTGCAAACCGTTCGAGAATATCTTCTCCACCCCAGATGTTCCACCGCCATCTTGCCTCTCAGGCTGGCCCCTTGCTAAGGATCCGGCTCTACGATACCATGACCGTCGTGATAGTAATCTTAACTGACTACTGAATACGAATGACACTACAAATAACACTACCAACGATACTCGGGACGCCATCGTTTTCTAATAGTACTATTC